CCATGCATGCACTACGAGTACATTTGATCACTATCATACTACTAAAGCGTAGTACATGTGCTATAGAGTGCAGTACCGCAGCACTAGAGCGTAGTACATCATTACAGTGTAGTACACGTGCTAGCCTACAAGAGTGTAGTACAAGAGGTTATTTCCTTCGAGCACGTGACCTTAAATACGCTGCGTTCTCCAGGCAGAGACCGTTACCTCTGTCTGACGACTAAAAAGTTTTTGGAATAAGGTGTTCTCCAAGCAGGTAACTTGGGGGGGGGGTCTTTTTTACGGCTGTTTTCCACTTGAGGGAGGGCAACCTTAAGAAAGCGTACACGTGCATACACCGATATAGTAGAGGGAAGTAGGACCGTAGGAGAAGCCACAAAAGGGCAACGAAATGATCTTGGTAACGCTCTCCCGACACAACTTGACGAACACCCACTACCTCCCGAGTAATGGAACGTCCTGCTAATTGTCAGACCTTTCCGTTATTGATTGGACACGGCATGTCAGGAAGCCGCTGTCCCTACTAACACACCGACAGCCGGGCACTGGGAACATTCCTTATCTAACCTCTATATTCAAACCAAAAGTACGGCTTTTCAAAGGCCAAACATGGAATCTAAGGTGTATATCGGACACGCCACATCACCCCCCCCTCCGAAATGCTCATTTCTTTCTCACAATCGGTATAAATTTCTTTATAAATTATGCAAATTTAGTTCGAACTTGCACAGTGTCCATCCAACTTGTCTGAATCAATACGTTATCTACCTAGCTAAAATGCCTGAACTCTTGAAAAGTGCTCCGTTTTTTTCTATCCTGTTCAAAATTTTCAGATAAAAAGTTTTAAAAAACGCCTTGCAGTTCTAAAGAAACCCTTCTGTGCCCTGAACGCTAACCGTGAACCAGCCCGTCAGCAGACTTCTACTCCAATATCCATCCTCACGCGACTTCTGCAGCATGATTTATCACATGATGTGGAGGGCTTCCAAATCAATACAACGGCGAGAACCGAATGGAACGCAAACTTTGCAGTGAAAATGGGCAAAATTGATAGAGACTGTCACACTGCGGGGTACAATTAAGGCCAAGCAGTCAAGAAGTTCCGACATATTTTGCCATAACCCATTTCTTCATGCTGGACTAAGATATGAAATAAAAACCCAACCCCATGTAAGAAAACAATCCACGAAGCTGCGGACCCTTTGCATACCCAAAGCCGAAGTCTCTCCAACTCCGGATCAATATGGAACAACATGTGTTTTCAGTATTTGAGGAATTTATTTCAATCTCGGAGATAAAATCACAAGAGTCGTGAGTGGTAGTCATGTCAGTGGGGCGGCACACTGTTTAGAGAGCAACAGAACCCCACAACATCCTTCCTCCGCTCACGTATGCGTCTCACACTGAGCAATTATGCAAAGTGGTCGGTGTCAGCCTGGGGTCGAGCACACCTTTTTATCAGACGGGATTTCGGGCGGCGGCTGCCGGGCTCCAGCTCTTTGCACCTCCGTGCTGAGAATGGGGAGACAAAAATCTGCCTTCGATTTCCTGGCTGATAGCACGGCATGCCTCACATGCTCCTCTAATTCCCACGCCGTCTTCAGCCTCCGAGGCAACCGTTTGGACTTCAGAAAAGATGCATCCAGAATTTGTCCCTTCGTCCCGTTCTATATACATGTACCAGCGGACAACGCCGGGATAATAATGGCCTGTACGTCTTGCTAGGAGAAACCTTTTGTTGAAAAAAAGGAGCAAGAGAGAATCGCTCGCGGCGGGGGTGAAGTCCCCGTTCTCCGACAATTTTCACGCTTTGCCAGGGTTGAATTAATCGTCCTTAATTAGTTGGTGAACATAATTCATTCCGATGGGGAAACCGGAGACTCAAATAACACACATTCAGAGATGAAATCAGCGGCGACTTCTTAGAAAAAAATAATTAAGAGATTATTCATCTTTCTTGTTCCGACATACAAAATTCGGACATCTTTTGCCAAGGGATCCGAAAAATCATCATTTCTGCAACAACATTCCATCCCCCCTCCCTCCATCTCGTTCCCATTAAACGGTAGAACATCGCGTGGGAAGACGGGCTGCGGTCGGAAACTCGTTCAAGTTCCAGCTATGCGACTTAACGACGGCGGATGTCGTTATTGGGTCTTCGCGAGGATCTGTGTCTACAGAGACTACTATTAGTCTATTTCTGTATCTGTATTATTGTTGTAGTACGAGTAGATGAATCTGCTCCAGCTTTTGCGTCTGTGGCCAAGACCACTCCCTCCCTCCCTCCCTGCCTCCCTCCCGGCACAATCTGGATCTTATTACGACCAGAGCTTTACTCCATCCCGATAGTAGACTCCAGATTTCACTGTTTTAAATCCGGCCGGCAGAAGTCCGCGTTGTAAACACAGTCTGTGGTGGGTTCTTGTTAGACTTGTACCTAGTAATTTGTGTTGCGTGCTTTCTCTGTGGGACAACGTCATTACCCCACTTCGGGCTCTCAGCCTAATGACCCTCCTGTGTACCAGGGGGGCAGAGGGCATACCTCCATCTACACCCCGCAAAAAATCCTACATAACCCCCTAACCTTCCTCAAGGCTATACATTTTGTACAACAACGACACGAGCAGATTATACAAGAACCGCATCTAAACAAGGAAACGTGTCCAAGAGTCAACAGAAATAAACAGAGAGACGCAGCGGGAGACTAGAACCTGGGGCTGATAAGGCTGGCATTCTGTGGCAAGGCTTTATCAGTTCCATATTCATCCTTCGTGACGGCTTGGGCTTGACCTGGAAACTACTGCCCGCCGTTCCTATTTTCTGTCCAAATCGCACGACCTTCAACCGAGTCAAGGAACTGTACACACAAGAAAACACAAGAAAACTCTAAACAGAACCTACCTGTCTTTGGGGAGACTTGCGGCGTGGCGGCGTGGCGCGGTGACAGCCAGTCGCCCTGGCGGTGATAACGGTGCTCAGGATCTGTACGCTGTGCGAGGTCGGCGCTACAATCCAGGCATATGGAATGAAGTATCCTGTCACCGATACCGAACGTAAGGAGTCTATCTCTCCTTCAGATGGCGGGCCCCTGCCTGTAGAAAGAAGTGTGCGCCCGCGGGCAGCCCAGCTATACAGACCCGGCACCGGTTGTCAGACAGATGGATGCAGGCCCTTTGGTCTTGAACTTGGGCCAAAAAGGTTCCCAGCACAAACCCAATCCGGTGCACTTTCGCGTCACAACTTACGAGCCTTTGGCGGACATACACGTCTGTCCACTGACATCGGCCACAAACCACACCACAAGCTATCCCTTGATCCTCTTAGCGTGTCACCGTGGAGGGGAGGAGGGGGTGTTTCGGGGACCGACCATCAATCACCCTGGTGGTGGGGTCTCTCCTCAGCCGCGGACTGGCGACAGACCCCAATGAATGTGTAGCCTCTACCCGGCTGTACCAGGCTTCCGGAAGCGGATGGAAAGAGTAGACATTTGCCAAATGTAATAATTAGATAACAAGCCAGGGGAGTTGGTCCGCTAAAGAGTACAGTTGGAGCGACAAACTGTATTCTTTAGCGGACCAACCCCCTGGCCTGGCATATTATCTGTCTATTTGGCCAATGTCTACTCTTTCCAGTCGCTTCCCGAAGCCGTTTAGATGGCATGTACAGCAAACGGAGCCTTCAAACATGCCCGGAGGCTAAACATGTAGGTTCAACTGTCCAGGTTCAAACTTCAAACATGCAATACATGACCGGGAATCAAAGGCTGACAACAGCAATTTGCAATCCACTGTGAGAAAAGCAACAAAACATGTTTTAGGTTTAGACTCATCCATCCATCCATCCATTCATTCATTCTACCAGTCTACCATTCTACCATTCCTTCATTCATCATTCAATCAATTTCCCAGTAGCTTCAACAATTTACCTTCGCCAAGAACTTGGAGGTCATGTTTTGGCAGCGTTTCTAACGATGTTTGTAGTTTAGCATCTCAAGAGACTGTAGATGGATTGTCCTGAAATTTGGTAGGAGGGTACATGTAGGTCTTCACCTATGAAAGAATTATAAGATTTTGACCCTATGGCGGCTTGCCTTGGTACTGCAGCCTCCAGTTTTGACATCTCGTGTTGTGCACATGCTAGGCCAGCTGGGGTCATAATTTGGGTACCAGAGAACTCAACGTGAAGTTCAGGACTCCTATCGGATTTTTTTGGAACTGCAGGAGCTCTGCAAATTTGGGAGGCCAAAGCTAAAGGATTGTCGAGATTTCTAGCATGTAGGAAGCTGAAGTGATGGTTGACATAATCAAGATAGGTTACGCAAACACCAAAGCAAGCCGATTCATTAGAAAGAAACCCGACCAAATTCCTGGCCGACATTAGCCTGGGTGGCATCCTCCGTAGTTGCCACCTGATCCCTATTGTCGCTAGCTCAAACGGCGGTGAAATTACGGAGGATGGCACCCAGGCTAGGCCTAGCCTCCTTCGTTGACTTCTTGGAGCGGCGGTTAATATGCGACTTTTTTCACGGTTTTGAACAGTTCTCTGGTGTGGCAGAGTCTGCGACGAGCGAAACTCCACGGTATTTAAAGAACCTTAGCCCCTGAAAAAAATTGGCTGACAGTAGCGATTTGCGTATCAGCGTCAAAAATAAATGCCACCACTCCAAGAAGTCTGCGGAGGAGACTAGCCTAGGCCCGGGCCAACTAGGCCGACATTAGCGCAATCTGACGGGTTTATTGTGAGGCTCTCCGCCAAGTGGTCCGAACCCCCAGCGGGAAGGCCACCAGCTGGAGAGACTTACCGTCCCGTCACTTCTGATGATATCATCTCCACACTTCCGCCGAACAAACACATTCAGACATAGGATCGGCCTGGGATCTGCTGTCCCAGTCCTCCGTCGCCATCGTCGGGATATTATCCAATATTTCACTAAGTTGTTCACATTTCAATCAACAACAAAAGACTATGGTCTATATTAGTGCTTAACCCAACCCATTTATTTTACGATCCGTACGAAGAGTCGGGCAATTCATCTCCCACTACCTCCTGAGAAGACGTCCAACCTCCTAATAGCTTGACTACAATAGTATAATAGAATAGTTTCTCTTACCTATTTATGTATTATATATCCACTCTTTATCTTGTATACCAACGTTGGTAGAGATAGTAAGTAAGATTAGTAGATCGTAAAACTTCATGTTAGCATATAGTTTTATACCGCTACATTCTGTATTCATTGTTTTTGTCAATGTCTGTTTGCAATTAGCCCCGGGCATGAACTTGCAATAAAGAACTTTATCATCGAGTAAAACGCGGTCACGAAAGCCAAAAAAAGAGGGAAGAATAATTGGCAAGTAGAATCAGTCCACGGAAAGGTTAATTTCCCCTCCTCGGGTTAATTGATTTATGGCTTAAATAATGTGAACTCCAAAGCTATTGCCTTTGTACAGAAAATGAGCGGATTACTTTTATTGCCTTTGAACGTAGTGACAAACGGTGTGGGTAAATGAACTCTGCGGTGGCCAAAGCAAACTCTCCTGGCCAATTACTCTCCCTATTTGGCTAAGTGTTACTGTTTTTGAACCCGCACGTGCACTGTAAGAGGGTCTGCATGCCCTTTTTCGTTAACCGTTAGGGGCTATTTTAATTTACCGTTAATCGTTGCCGGCCTGCTCTAATTCAACGTTAAGCGTTATCAGTATATTCCTCGTGAAGCGTTATGGGTCGTTTTAATTCAACGTAAAACGTTATTTGTCATCCTGAATTCAGCGTTAAGCGTTAATGAATAATTCTTCGTTACGCCTAATTTTGCCTATCAAAGTGCAGGAAAATGCGTCATTGAAGGTTTAAAAATACAAAATTTCCCGGGGTAGAATGCCCCCGGACCCCCCTACATTGCTCGCGCCTTTGGCGCTCGACTCGCGCTTCTGCGCTCGGTCCCATCGGCTCTAGCCTGAACCAGTTTACCCTTCAATTTCCGGAAGTTTGCGGGGAGTTACAGAATTTTTTTAACGAATCCGTCAACCTTGACAGGCAAATTAACAAAAATCTTGAGTAAAATATGAAAACATCAGAAGGACCGACAAACACTCTCAACACCATGATTTGCCTCTCAAAATACGGGAAATTGCGTTTTTGAAGGCTTAAAAATCCTAAATTTCCCCCTTAGATTAATCCATCGGTAAAACTGGGCAGACTGAAAAAATACAAGCTGACCGACGTCGACTCGGACTCCCCTTTATTTGTTGACGGACTCGGGGACCAGGGCAGGTGGGAAACACAGGGAACACATACCTTTAATGCATGCTTCATTACATGTAAGGTATAC